GTGCCTTTTAAATCATGTTTATATATGCTTTTAAAAAATATTTTGGTTCTATTTTCTTTTATTACTTTTTAATGGAGGTACTAGGAATATATGCTTTTAATTATCTGTACCTCCCGGAATGGGAGACGTTTACACATAAGTTCAGTATTCTTAGGTGCTCAGTCAACAAGCGTTAATCGGGCATCTCTGTAAAGCACGTGAGAAGGCTCGGTTCTGAAAGAATAAAGCTAACGATCCGTGATACATAAGCCATTAAGCAGCCAAGGGGCAGTAATACCATTCACGGCCACCCTGGTACTCGTGGTCGCCACACAGCTTCTGCGAGGACACCGTTTCAAAGCACAATTTCCACTCTATTTACGTGCATGCACTGCCCTCAGACTCTCGCTACCAAGGGGAAAACTATCAGTAGATGCAACAGAAGTATCTTGAGTTTGGTTAGACTAGACGGCAGCCAGGGGCCAAAAGAGAAATTCTGTACCAGGAAGCCACACAGACACCACTGGATAAAAGGAGGAAGGCTTGTTCTACACCCCGAAACCCCACAAGGGACAGGACTGACGGCTGCCACTCAGGGGCAGGTGGGGAGAGCCATCGCCCTGAGACGTTCCACCCACCCTGATGCGCTCAGCAAACTGGCCCCGCCGACCTCTTTCGCTTTTTTGCCAATGAGGAAATGGGGGCGCATCACTCCCGCCCAGGGTTGCCTGGTAACCTGCGCCCACCCGCCCCTCCCCTCCCCCTGCGGGAAGCCCCGCCCACGCTCCCCGGGCAGAGCCCAGCCACCCACCATTCTCGAGTCCAGGCTCTGGCTGCCCGACTGCCGCGGGGCAGTGACCAGGGCCTCGGGGTGGAGCCGTGGGCTCGTCTCTTTCTCCCTTTCCTCGCTATTCTGAGAAGACACCATTTCAAGACCCCCAAACCTGTGGTCGCTGCACATGCTTGTTGAATGAAACACAGGCGAAGTCTGCATGGGGAGGAAAAAAAACCCCAAAAAGTGAGCGAGAGAGATCACTGCTGTCCTTACAGGACAGTCTTGGCTTTGCCTTTGGATGCATGAGCGTAACTTAAAGATGCCTGTTTGTGACTCAAGGAATAAACAGACTAACATCAGACCCAACAGATTGGACCCTCAGGAAGGAAGACAGTCCAGCCCCCGCCCCCCACCCCAGGCTGCTTACAGGGCAGAGCAGGGCCCTAAGTGGAGGCGGGGAAGGGCCTATCACCTCCTCAGCTTCCAGAACTGAGGACTGACCATCACGAGACAACAGGTCTCCAGTACTGAAAGACCATCTCCTTTCGTCCCCATCACTACTTGGGTGGACACAGGTCTAGAAGGAGGGGATAGAAGGAGGGGACTGGTGTGAAATAACAGGGACTAGCCCAGCAGATCCAGGTCTAATTTCACAGCTGTCCAACCTTAAAGACAGTAAAAAGTTCTCTTTCAGCAATATACATCTGCCCCAAATGACATCATCCACTCCACCACTGGGGAGGGGCGTGGGGCGGGGGGTCTGACCTCTCTAACTAGTAAAGAGCATGTCTGTCCGCTCACCTGTGGGTTGATTCCCCATCAAACCCTGCAACCTATCGGGGGTGGCCAGTCAGTCCCTCTGACACATGGGTGTGCTCAATTCACCCCTCCAACCCTGCTACATGCACTCAGGACACCCAGTGTATCAGAGATGATACCAGACTGTCTGCCACACAGGTCTAATCATTGCTAACATATTTTTCTCATAGCCAAGTGGCTCATTGTTAAGTGCACTCCACTTTGGAGACCCCTGCCCTAGAGGTGCTGAATAAAAGGGATTTTCAGTGGACAGAATCCCACTGTTTCCAAGGACCATACCATGTCTTCATCCCGTGAGGTGTCGTAGCGCACGGGGTGGTCGGCGTGCACCTGCTTCAGCCTCGTGAGCAGGCTCTCCACCAGGCTGTCTCGGTCCCTGAGCTCGATGAACTGGAAGGCCATCTTGCTCCGGATGCTGACAATGATGGGGTTGGGCAGCAGACTCGTGTCCTCCATCTTCTCGATGCTCACTACCTGTTGCAAAAAAAAAAAAAAAATCACACACGCAGAGTTACAGTGAGAGAGCAGAGAGGCAGGCATTTAACTGCACATTCAGGAAATATCCCGAGAGGGCAAAACCAAAGAACTGCATAAGGAGCTGGTGCAAAGTTAAAAAGTATGTAATGCAGCATACTCACAACAGCCCGAAGTGGGAGTAACTCAAGTGCTTTATCTATTCATCCTTGATGGATGACGGGATAAACAAAACCTGCTCTACACGTACAATGGAATATGATTCAGCCTTAAAAGAGATGGATATTTGGACAGATGCTACAGTATGGATTCACCTTGGGGACGTTATGCTCAGTGAAATAAGCCAGTCACAAAAGCGCAAATACTGTAAGATTTCACCTACACGAGAGACGTAGAGGAGTCAGATTCAAAGAGATGGAAAGTACATGATGGTTGTCAGGCTGGGGGATGGGAAGCTGCTGTTTAACAGGGACAGTTTCAGTTTGGGATGATGAAAAATTCTGGCGATGGCTGCACAAGAATATGAATGTACTTCATGCCACTGGAACTATACACTTAAAAATGGTTAAAACGGTAAATGTTCTATTATGTATATGTTACCACAACTTTAAATAATAATTATATAAGACAACTACAGGCTTTCTTGCTCCATTCATAAGAAGGATACTTGTAAAATGAAGACACCTATTGCAGGAAGACAGAGGTAAGGAGATCACATAAATGCAACAACTCTGAGTTTCTCTGAATCGTGCTTAGCAAGAAGCTGGGAGTCCTGACGTGTGACAGAGCTGGGGTCCTGTCCCAGCAGACATGCCCAAAACCACAGGATGACCTTGGCAGGTCTGGAAGGAGACTCCATTTCCACGAAGAAAATTATGGAATTTTATAGTTGGAAGGGAGATGATCCATACAATAACGATATTTTTTAAATTTTTACATCAAGTTCCAGGGGGTATAAAAACCAAGCAAGTTGACATTTCTTTCCAAAAGGTGATGCTTTTTGTGGGGGCCCTTTTTCTTTTCCCTTTTTGTGGGTGAAAGAGGAAGATTCCTCCCCAAGAGCTGCTGGCAAAGCTTTCACCACTAGGCATGTGCTTCTTAATAACAGCTTTATCAATAATGCGGAGGCCAGAGTGCACTGCTCTCACCATTCACTTCTATGCAAATCCCCGCTTGCCATAGCAACAGGAGAAAAAGCCGTGGCCCAATGGGCCGATTCAGGCCGTGCCTCCCTCTGGACGCCCGCCCATCCTCAGCCGGACGCTGTGTGAGCAGCCCCTCCAGCGTCCCGTCGCTTAGCAACCTCAGCTCAATACCTCTCTGAGCGGGAGGATGACTTTGCAGCAGCCATCCTCCTTGCTGGCAAAGCAGATGTAACTGTCAGAGGTGAACATCCGCCCGGCGGTGTGACAGCGACTGAAGGGCGTCCAGAGGGAGCAGTCCAGGACGGCATGCAGCTTCTCCCGCCTCGGCAGCCTGAAGAAGGCCCGGAAGAACTCGTTCTGTGCCCTGGCTTCCAGGTCCCTGGTGCAGAGCGGAGACAGAGAGATGCAGGTACGTGACTGAGCACACTAGATCACAGAGGAAGACGCTTTCAGCGCCCTGGTACAACCTGATATTGAAGGGGACACGGGAAAGTGCTGATCCCCACTTCCCATGCCTGCACCCCTGCGGCTCCCTCCCCACTCCATGGCCAACTTTGGGGCGAGAACTCAGAGCAGCATGGGCTGCCTCTGCACAGAGGTGATGCAGCGACCTCACGGACCAGAGTTAGCCTTCCTTCCTGGTTTAACACTGCGAATTACCACAAAACAACTGCAGAAGAATCCAGTATCTGAAAGTCAGCTAATAGCAAGTGGTGGTGAGAACTGGAACCTTCACACAGCCGGCGGTGATACAAAATGTGTGGGGCCACTTAAGAAGCCAGGCTGGAGGGTCCTCAAAAGGTGAACCATGAAGCTACACAGGACCCAGCGAGTCCACCCCCAGGTATTTAACCACGAGAACAGAAAACATACGTCCACTCAAAAACCTGCATGTGCGTGTTCATGGCAGTGTTACTCGTAATGGTCAAAAACCAGAGACAACTCAAACGTCCATCACCTGATAAATGGATAAACAAAATGTGATGTGCCCATCCAGTGGGACATCATTCAGCCAGAAAAAGGAATGAAGTCCTAATTCACATTACAATGTGGATGAACCCTGAAATGTTACACTAAATGAAAGAACCCAGATACAGAAGACTACCTATTGCCTGATTCCATTTATATGCACTTCCCGGAACAGGCAAATCTGTAAAGACAGAAAACAGATTAGTGACGGCTCAGCGCCAGGGGAAGAGGGGAAATGGGGAGTGACCGCTCACGAGAACCAGGTTTCTTCTCAGGGTGATGAAAATGTTCTAAAAGAGACGGCGTGGTGACTGCACAACTCTGTCAGCATAAAACCACTGACTGGTATTCTCAGGATGAGCTGTATGGTTGTGAATTATATCTCAAAAAAGCGGTTAAGAAATTTATGAGTGCTCAGTGAACACCAGTTGTGTTATCTTAAAAAAGAATCCGAGTAAAGAATTCCTGGAGAGAAGCCCCATTGGTCACATCAGCACTGACAACTGAGCACAGTGGTGAGCGGGGGGAGACCCTCCCCAGGGGACCCCCCTCCATACCCTGATTCTTGGCTCTAAAACCCAATACGGCAACAAGGCAGCCAAATCACATTTAAAAAATACTGATGGATTTATGTCACACCCCACAATTCTGGCAGAGGGAAAACTCCAATGAACAAAAGTAAACACTTGTCTTTGTCATACTAAGTAAGAATTCTAGGCGTATCCGATAGAGGTATCTTTGCTCAGAGTCAGAAAAAATACGAACTCATGGCTTCCAGGGGTCACTTCCTGTGACCCTGGACCAGACTTGGCGTCTCATGCTGACCTCTGTAAAATGGAAACAAGACCTCAACTTTCTGCTTCAGGGAATCCTGGTGAATGTAAGATGATGTCCACAAGATTGTAAAAGAGAAAATGCAGGTTAGAAATAGTATCTATGGTATGATCCCATTTATATAAACTCTATGCAATTTGCAGAAAGCTGACACGGAGCAACTTTCCCTGGATGTTCACGGCGGTTATTTCTGCACAGTGGGGTTTCTGCTCTGCACTTGTATTCTGCTTAAATTTTCTGCCTGACCATATATTAGATTTAAGAAAACATTAAGCTATTTTCTTTGAGGTAAAGGACAACTTTTCAAATGTTGATTCATGCAAGATATTAAACTCTGCACTCAGGTCTCTGCCCCGCAGCCCAAGTGACCCTCCAGATGTGACCTGGCCGTGGAGCCCCTGCGATGGGAGCCTGGCACCAGGTCCAAGCGTCCTTTCCACCCCGAGGCCCGTCCGCCCTGGTTCTCACATCCTGCCATCACACAAACGACATCATTCAGCGACGCGGCAGTCCCTGGAATTTACTATCAAACCCTCACGAAGAGAAGGCACATACCTGTCCAGAAAGCTCTCTGGGCACAGAAATTAGACAACTTCTATAGGTCGAGGTGTAGCCAGTGACTGTGGCCAAAAGCTGCAGGTCCTCAAATACCTGATACGAAACATGGACAGCTGTTTCCAAAGGGGCCTGAGCTGCTTCCAGAGAGGAGCAGGGAGGACATGGGGAAGGGCCATGAATACCCTAGAAGTTTGTGCACCACGAGAAGGGAGGGCAAGGTCCCTCAAGGTCACCCCAGTCCAGAGGGCTGAACTACATCCATTTACACTGCAAAACCGGACTCCTTGTCCCCAAGAATGCAGTCCTGCTGCCTTTGATGGAAGTAAGGCCAGCTTCCTCGCCATATGCATCTTACAGACGTGGGTCCAGCTGTCACTGAATTCAACTGGTGTCTTTTCCTTCTGGGAAGCCCAGCCCTGCGTCCTGGGGAGACGGCTGAAGCCATTCCAGGGGGGACACAGGGCACATCACATGAACGGCAACAGCTTGTGTGGGGCTGCAGGGAGGGTGGGAGGACTTACATTTCTATTTACACCGCCTGACCCTGCAAACTAAGGATAAGGTGTCTGGTTGTCTGAGGCAGATGTTTCTCCATTGAGTGCACAGGCTGCCTTGGCCATCAGTCCAGTTCAGCCCCCTTCTCCGTGGCTTCGGCACAGCTGGGGTGAGCCCCGCACAAAGTGTCCATTCTCCTTTCTAGGCTGCTGTCGCTTCCCTGAGAGTCTGTCTACATTCAGTAGCCAGAGACCACTGACCTCGAGTTACCAAAAGGCAAGCTGCGGGCGGGACTTTCCCAAATTATCTTCCTTCCTCCCTACTAGAAAGCCCTCTTCAGCTCCACCCTTAAATGTGAGTCGAAGATGATGTTTAACTTTCTAATGTAAAAGAGATGAATATAGGACTTGAGAAATGGGGCGCATAACCCCCCGCCCCCAGCCTTGAGGTCTGTTTCCCAGCAGGTGGTGGCTTTGATGGCGAATATACCAACTCCTTTTTCTAAACTGCATCAGAAACAAAGCCCGCAGATCACCACTGGCCTTTCAGACCTTCCAACACTCAGTAAATACCTCCGCTTTTCCTCCATCCTGATGACGCCAGACACAGGTCATAACCGGACATCCAGAAAGCGGCAGCTAATCCCAGGCCTGAAGCCACGGCGGAAGAAGCCCACGAGGATGGAGACGAATCTGGGAGCCCCATCAACACTTCCCACCCACAGTGCACACACTGCCGGGGTGCGCAGGCCGGAGCCCGGGCCCCTGGGGCAGCGACGTCTCAGAGCAGACGGGGGGAGGGGCCACCAAGCATCGTACTGGGACACATGCTGTTTTAGGAACCTGGAACCATGCGGGCTGACCAGCCTGCGGAGCAGCAGACATCAAGGCTGTTATTGAAGCCGAAATTAATGTGTGCAAACGCACATGACAACCATGCAGGAAATTCGAGGCCATCTGCACACCTTTTAAAAATTCAGATTTAGGTCCTAAGACCTCAGACCCAAGAAATTAAGCGGTAGGTTGTTCTTTTGTTTCTCGGCAAACCTAGAATGAGATTTCTCTCTCCTGGATT